TAATTCTTGTCCTTTGTTTATTTCCTCTTATCTCCATGGGGAAGTGGAACAGAATTCTTCCTCCGTAAGCCATGCGTGTTGTAAGAGGCGACTAAAATGCCAGGAGCAAGGGGCTAGTAACCCCTTCTCCTGTATATATTACTAAATGTAAAAGGAGAAACTTCCGTTTTTCCTTTTGGGCCACCCCGCCTCGGTGGGATACGGCCGGTGTGTTGAAAGAAAGAAGAATATATATATAGGGAAGTGGAAAAGAATTCTTCCATAAGCCACATGTGTCGTAAGAGGTAACTAAAATGCTGGGAGAAAGGGACTAGTAACTCCTTTGATATACCTTCGAAGAGTTTTGAGAGTTTAACTACTCTCAGAGCCCGGCCATGGGCCAGGCTCATCAGCAACAGCCTGATTAACCAGGCTGTTGCTGCTGGAGGCCTGCTGCCCCACATATCCATCACAGCCTGGTTGATCTGGCACCTGGTGAAGATACTTGTCCAGTTTACTCTTGAAGGCTTCTACACTTGTTCCAGCCATGTTTCTGATATCTTCTGGTAAGATGTTGAATAGTCTGGGACCCTAGATGTTGATACAGTTCCCTTATTGTCCCCATCACACCCCTGCTCCTCACTGGGTTTATTTTACACTTCCTCCCATATCTCTCACTCCAGTATGTTGTTGTTGCAGTGTGCAAATTTCAGACCACGCCCTCAAGTACTTTCCAGGTGTATATTATCATGCATCTCTCTCTCCTCCGCTGCAATGAGTACATGTTCAAGACTTGAAGGCGTTCCCAGTAATTTAGGTGCTTTACTGGCTCAATGTAAACCGTAAATGATCTCTGTATTTGTTCCAGCTCTGATATTTCTTCTGCTTTGAATGGGGCCATCAGCACTGAGCTATATTCTAAATGAGGGAGCACTAGTGATTTGAAAAGTGTCACCATTGGCATTACTGTATTTCCCTTGTTTGAAAGTTCTCGATACCCACCCTGTCATCTTCCTGGCCGTTGTGATCTTTGTCTTGGTATGTTCCTTAAAAGAAAGGTTGGCTGACATAATTATTCCCAGGTCTTTCATGCATTCTTTTCATTCTATATAGTGACCCTCTTGAGTTTTGTGTATAGTGTTCCTTTTGAGTTCTTCATTCTTTCCATACCTAAGCAGCTGGAACTTATCCCCATTGAATGTCACGTTGTTCTCCACTGCCCACTGGAGAACCCTGCTTATGTCTTCCTGTAATTTTTTCAGTGTCCTCTACTATAATGACTTTCATGCTTATTTTTAGTGTCATGTGCAAATGATGATACAAAAGTGTGATGGGTGTTTTGATCTATGTCCGCTATAAGGATGAGAAACAGCAGAGGTGCCAGGAGAGTGGCTTGGGGCACCGAGCTCTTGACCTCGCTGATGCTGGATATTGCTCTGTTTACTATTACTTGTTGTGTTCTGTGTTAGGAACCCGAAAGTCCATCTGCCTACCTTTCCCATAATGCCCATGGCCCTCATTTTGTGCGCTATCACTCCATGACAGCATTTGTCAAACGCCTTTGCAAAATCTGTGTAAATCACATCTGCATTTTGGTCTTCTTCCAATGTCTCTGTAATTCTGTCATAATGGTTCAGCAGCTGTGACAGGCATGATCGTCCTGCTCTAAAACCATACTGGTTTGGGTTATGCTGGTCCATGAAATTTGTAATCTGCCATCTCACCACTTTTTCGAAGATTTTTACTATGTGAGAAGTTAGGACTACTGGTCTGAAATTTTTAGCTAGTGCTCTACTACCTCCCTTATGCAAAGGAGTTATGTCTGCACTCTAACAGGCCTCTAGTATTTCACCTAGATCTAAGCTCTTTCTCCAAAGAATACTGAGGGCTCGTGCTAGTGGTACTTTGCACTTTATAAATAGAGCATTCCATGAATCTGGTCCAGGTGCTGAGTGAGTGGGCATGTTGTCCATTTCTTTTTTGAAATCTATGGGATTTGTACTAATGTCCATTAGTTGGTCTGCATGGCCTTCTGCTGGAGTGAAAAATATTTCTTCATTTTCTACCTTGCTGTCATTTAGTGAGTTGTTGAACACCGACTCATACTGTTCTTTTAGGATATCACTCATTTCCTGTTCATCGTCAGTATACGAATCTCCTCTCAATAATGGTCCAATTCTACAGGTAGTTTTTAGTTTGGATTTTGAATAGGAATAGAAATATTTTGGGTTTCTTGCAATGTCCTGTATGGCCCTGTGTTCCTTTTGTACTTCTTCTGTTAGGTATGACATCCTGAGTTTTTGCTCTAATTCAGCGATCTCTCAGCTAAGCCTATCTTTCCTCTATTGCAACATATTTGTGCTTTTAAGCAATTCAGTAACCCATTTTCTTCTGTACCATCTCCTACGCTTCTCTCTATATTTGATCTTCTGGGTTTCCTCAATGGTACATGCTTCATACATACTTCATATGCTTCTGTATTCAGCTTCTCTAAGCACTGGTGGGGATTCAGATGCTCTTTGTCTGATTCCTAGGATATGTCTGATAACTCTTGGTTTATTTTTTCCCAGTCAATTCTATGGTTGTTAAAATTAAATTTGCTGAACATTCCGTCTCTAACATTAGTGGTGCAGTTCCCTAACCCTGAGGTAATACTCGTTTGAACTTCTATGATGTTGTGATCAGAATATATGTATTGTTTTTGTAACTGTTATGTCTCTGGAATGAGGGTAAGGGTGCACATGGCGCTTGCACAATGTTCCCATATAATTACACCATATATTGTACACTATTGCTTGGGATTAATTAAGATTACTCTTATCCACAATTTCAGTTCACTATATCACTGCCTATTCATGTCCTTATCCCTCGTTATATCACTTATACGAAAGTTCAATATTCATCTGATTGTTTAGTCCACTTCTCTGTTGACCTCTGGCAATAATTATTCCCTATATTATACATTATGTATTGGGTATTTGTCAGATTGTTGTAATCCATAATTTAAGATCACTATATCACTGAACATCAATATTTCGTCACTCACTATGTCACTCGCTATATTACATATGATAAGATGAGTAACAATCCTTCAGTATAGAACACGACCCACCGTGTGGAAACACCTTTAGGCCTAGTTCACAACCTGCTCCCCTTCTACACTTTTACTAATAATTATATCTTATATTTTCCTGACATTTTAACAATAGTCCTTTTTTGTTTCTTAACTTTTCTGCTCTTGGAATTTATGTTAGTTCCTGATCTTTCTTATTTCCCCTCACTGATCTACACTCACTGCTAGTCACAAACCATTCACTGTATGGCACCCTCCAGTTACAGCTGTTTATCTGATGCCCACACTCTACACTTGACACTATAATCTATATTTTTATCTCTTCAGTGATCACTGATATTTCCTTAATGTAGGGTTTAAATGAGAATATCAATAAGTTCTGCACACGCCTATTTTCCGCACTCTGTCCCCTGCTGTACAGTCAGAGAAATGTAAATTTGACTGAGCTCAAACACGCGCGACTTTTTCACCTGGCACCAACTTACATGTGTATAAATTATTAAATTTAAAAAGAATACTTTTGTTTTTCTTTTTAGGTCACTCTGCCTCGGTGGGATAGGGCCAGGGCGTTGAAAGAAAGATATACACATACAAAAATCTTTAAAACAATTTAAAAAAATGATGTTTAAAGACAAAACTCTGAAGGCATACTGAATATGAGAGCTGGAAGTAAAAACAACCCAATTCTGTATATAGAACAAATTGCTCAAAGAATTAGTACAGGTCAGCCATCACTAATCTGGCACTAATTTCCCTAGCATAATTTCAAATTTCCAGGGACGCCACACCAACCTGCTGCTACTGTTTGGTGGCGCTACATGCTACATAGGTTAGTTAAATTTCTTTTTTTCCATTTATTGCTATAACCTGCTCACTTCTAGCCCTAGCCATGGTTCTAATAAATAAAAGAAATGCTTTTTCTTGTGTAAAGCATATACACCATACATTGTACATAAAAGACAGTGGCTTTGAAGCCACTGTTGGTTGCCATGAGCTCAGCTCACTCAGATAAGCTCTGACTGGTAAATTTGGGCCTACATATGAGAGAATAGGTCTGTGTGTTAAGTATGCACTATAAAAAAAATCTTGCAGCACGCAGTGCATAATGAGAAAAAAAAGCAACCGTGTTTATAGTATAAAACAGTGACATGTGGTTTCCGTATGATTTTTATGGTTGCATCCTCGTTTGATAGAATGGAAGATATATTACAGAAATAGATATGATTTCGATTGGTTTCATGACAAAGTACCTTGAAATTGAGCTCAAACTAGTGGAAATGTTCAATTTTGCCAATGTTCAAGAGTAAACACATGACATCACCATCCAATATGTGTCCAATTGGCTGATTTAATACAAAAGTCATGAATGGCTTGACATTATTTACACAATTATTACAATAATGCAGTAGTCTACATAACAGTAAATCTTCTATTTTCTTTTTGTGTGAATAAAAAATTCAAAATGGAAAGCAAGCACAATATAGAGAGGTCTGGAGATGTGACTAATGAACAGAGAAAATGTTATTTTAGTGCTAGGAATGTTTGCATTGTTTATTCTGGACCCTATTGTGAAAATGGCATCTTTTGAAATTTGTGTTAAACTGGCCAACTCACTGATTTCTGACCACTTTACTGGGTAGTTGAAATAGGTAAATGGGTATTTTCTTGTACTCAGTCTACAGAATAGAAGGAATACTAGTGAAATAGCTATGATTTTGGTAGACTGGAACAAATGGAATGGGCCAAAATGGGGCATGAAGTGGGTGAAATCACCGATTCATAAATATCGCCATTGGGTTAAGTGTATTCTAACCTAACCACTCTGTAATCCGGCAAAAATCACTAATCTGGCACCCTTCACGTCCTGATGGTGCCAGATTAGTGAAGGTCAACCTGTATTTTGCTTTTATCATGAACTGCCATAAACCTAAAAAAATCTAAAACAATGCTAATAATTACAGTGAGAATTTGAAGGCTCAGCAATGGTGATAAGTTCTGTTTCTTCAGTGTCAGCTGTGTGAATAACAAATATATGATGTTTCATTTCTCCTCCTTCCTTCTCCTCAGCTCCCTTGTTTTCATTGTTAATGTCTTCCTCTTCACTATCTCTGTCCTCTATTGTCCTTTTATCTCTTCCATTCTCTACATTAAGCTGAGTAATAAGGATGCTCTGCTTCCCTGGTTCATCTACAAAATAAATTCATTCATTCACAAAACACATTGCTTTTAATTCCAAAACAGCAGCACACTTATGCTACCAACATCAACAAAAAATTTATTTTCTACACTATCAGTACTACAGAGGATGCTGGCTCCAATTGGTTAGTTTATCTGTATTCAGAAGTGTTGGCTTTGATATATCAAGAAATAGTTTAAATTTGTTCTGAGAATGAAAATACAAAGATAAAGTGAACATAAAAGACAAAAAGAAGAGCAACGAAATAAAAAAAAATAAAGGAAAAACAGGAAACAGTACTGATAGGAATTTTAATGTGGAGATATACAAATAACATTTATATGATAGGGCAGATAGGGAAACAATGTAGCAGAGGTTGGAAATGTATGGAATAGGTAGTGGTTTACTTAAAGCAGTAAAATTTTTTATGCCAATAGTAAGGCTCAGATTAGAATATGTAGGAATGAGGGGGATTATTTCCCTGCCAAAGTTGACTTTAGATAGGGCTGTGTGTCATCAAGGCTGTTTATATTTATAGATGTACTGCAAAAGAAATGAATGTTAGGATGATAGGGAGAAGTGTGGGATTAACCCTTTCAGGGTCCAAGGCCAAAATCTGAAGTGGTGCTCCAGTGTCCAAGAAATTTTGAAAAAAAAAAAAAAAAAAAATTATTTTTTCTTACAGAATTAAAGAGCATATTTTTGTGAAGGTAATAAGACAAAAAAAAAAATCTGATCAGTACTTACCGAGATACAGTGCCAAGAAGTTTGTCGAAAATGATGTGGTGGCGGCAACATCGACGAATTCCACTTACGCGCATTACATTATTTTGCGGTTTTTGTTGTTTTTTCTTTTCTTTTCCAATTTTTTTCTATTCCTACTAACATTTGGGGCCTGAGAGACCATTACTGTATATAATGTATATTATAAAACTCACTGTATTGAACACAATAACTGCACTAAAGTTATTATCATATTATTGTTCTTTCCACTTTTATTTTTTTACAATCACACATGGAAAATCTTTGTGGAACTACTTGTACAGCATCAAAATTATTTACATATTTTTCGTCTTTGGACATCTGTTTTGCACAGCGTGCAGCTTGTGGAACTCCTGAAAGGAAGGCATATGACAATGAGGCACCTTCCCTCCTCAAATGAATATCTGAGGTTCGTGGGCCGTGTTTGTTAGCGTCTTTTTGTACAGTGCCCCGAACGATCACTCCAATGAGCAAATTTTTAATGATTTTGAAGGAATTTTGTATTATTTGAAATGACAACCTTCACTTTTCCTCAAAAACTTGGGTATATGCACTGAAATTCTAGGAATGAAAAGTTGTTAAAGCCGGGGGTTACCTGGTACTTCATTATGAGTTGTCTGACAACAGACAAACAAAATTCACCATACGGTGGTCTGTTGCCAGTCTTTATTTGGTACATATTATATGCATTGAGCATTGAAATGTCCATGAGATGGAAGAAAAAAGTTTCATTTTACCACTTGTAACTCTTACGAACACAGTCAACAAACCAATCTGCATGTCACATTTGTCAACCAAGCGCATGTTTTGTGTATAATCAATCACTGTCACTGGTTTTCGAATACGTTCATTTTGTCACTCGATCAACGTTGCCACTGTCTTGCATTTCATTACGGTGAATGGTTGTCAACAATGTGACATCTCGTTTGTCATGCCACCGTAATGCCATGATGTCATTGGCAGTTAAACACCTGCACTCATCACCACGAGCACCTGCGTTGAGTCTGGGCATATGTTTACGATTAGAACGCACTGTGCCACACACATCTGTCTTGTTCACTCACATGAAATCATGAGTAATGGGCTTGTGTACCAGTTATCGGTATATAATGTATGCCCCTTACAAGATAAGGTGCCATCATGTTTCTCACTACGTCACCTGAGATACCCAATAACATCTTGGTATCTTTCAATGTTTTACTACCCGTGTATACAACAATATCCAACACCAGGCCACTGTCACAATCACAGAGTACAAACAGTTTTATACCAAAGCGTTTCCTCTTGCTCGGTATATACTGCTTGAATGACAGTCTACCTTTGAACAAAATCAAAGACTCGTCAATTACAAGATTCTTGAATGGATAAAATAAGTATATGCTGAACTTTTGTCTGAGATACATGAAAACATTTCTAATCTTGTATAACCTGTCACTTCTGTCAGGCCTGGTTTTGTCAGAGAAGTGCAACATACGTAAGAGTAAGATAAAAACCCGTTCACTGGTATGATTTCACTGAAACCGGGTAAAATTAGCCAATCTGTGGACCAGTATGCTTTTATATTATGCTTATAGACGTGAGGCATAAGCATTATTGTTGCAAAAAGCAAATACATTTCTGCAACAGTCGTCTCTTTCCACCTGTGTAGTCTTGCTGTGGCGATAAGATCGTATTTGCCATGGTGTACTCAAAATACTTATTACTTTCCCTGACAATAATTTCCATCAATTGCTGGTCAAAGAATAATTCAAAGAATTCCAGTTCATTGGCCGTGGTTCCAAGGGGACAAGTAGGTAGAATTCCACTTTGAGAGTCATCAAAGTGGTGAGGCTTGGGAACAAAATTGGGATTTTGCTGCCAATCCCACATACGGTTTGCTGGTGGATACTGGACATCATAGGCTGGTTGTGCGGGTGGTTGTGGTGGGCTGGTGGCTGGCGCTCCGCTTTGTCCTTGAACTGACGAGTCAGCAGCGTGGGTCCCAGCGTGGCCTGGTGAGTCACGCATGGCGGTGCCACTACCACCGCCACTACCATCACCACTAACACCATCCACTGATGCCTGTGGTCTATCCATGCCAAGTTTAGCCACATCACCACTATCACTACCTAAAACTGGTGTTGGGCCAGGGATGTTACTCCGTTCCCCTGGGCACAGCATAGGGTACACTACCCGAGAGCATGTCGGCGGCGAACATACCGACGCTTCACTGGTGAATATGATTCCTCACTATCACTACTCGAATGATCGTCGAGCGCAATAAAAACACAGTCCACGTCACTATCATCATCATTACTGAAGTCAGAGCTGGCCACACGAAAATATTAGTTTTCTCTTGCATGAGGAACAACCGCCGTGAGTCACGAGTGCCCACACCAGAGTAGAAGGTTGAGGATCGTCAGGGTTTTCTGCACTATATCGATATCCTGGTCATTCTTTTTCGGTCACTAACTGATCAAAGCCGTAGAATTTGTCTTCATTTCCACTTCCATCAGTGTCAGAACTATCAGATGGAAGAGGAGAGTCCAATTTTCCGGGGAGTGAGAGCTGACTTGCGACGAGGCATGGTGAACAAGGGTAACTGAGCCGGCGTTCCCACAATGCTTGCGGGCGCCTAGATTTTTTGTTTATGGCGCACACCCACCACGTAGACCCGTTCTCTCACATGTAGGCCTATGAGCGTTTTCGCGCTAAATTTGACGGCGCAGAATTTTGGCGTAGATCTACGTTTGGACACTCATGTAAAGCCTACGGGACGGACCCTGAAAGGGTTAAATGATGACGAATCTGACACAAAGTGGGAATTGTCACAATTGTTATTTGCCGATGACATAGTGCTTTGAGAAATACTGAAGATAAGTTACTAAGGTAGGTGGAATAAATTTGGAGGGTTTTGGATACTGGCTGTTTGGAGTGATATTTAAATTGTCGTATCTGAGTGCCTCTGCAAAGACCCGTGATTGTGTGTGAATGATAGTGAAAGTGTTGAATGATGGTGAAGGTCTTTCTTTCCTTTTTGGGTCACCTTGCCTTGGTGGGAGACAGCCAATGTGTTGAAATAAAAGAAGGAAATTAAAAGTAGAAAAAAAAAAGTAATGAAAGACTGGATATAAGATTGGAGGGAGGGAATGTGGAGGAAGTGAATGAATTCAGATACAGTGGAACCTCTACTTGCGAGCGTGTCCACGTGCAAGTTTTTCCAAATATGAGCAGTCGATGGGTCGATTTTTTGCTTCCATATGCGAGCAAAATTTCCACAAGCGAGCAGACCTCAAGGTAGGTTCCTTGACACTGGTGAGGGGCTCTTGCTCTTGATCTCGGGAATTGTATCTCATTTGTTTGTTGGACTATCTTATTGAAACTTGGGCATTGTATGATGGAAAGATGCTTCTTAACATACACCAAAAATGAAAGAAATCTAAGCATAAATAATGAAGTTCACTTCTCAGCAATTAGCCACCCCTTAGTGGTAATTTTGAATGATTATTATGGTTGTATTCTCGTTTTTTGGTCTCATTTGATAGAATGGAAGATATATTACAGAAATAGATATGATTTTGATTGCTTTCACAACGAAAAGTACCTTGAAATAAAGCTCAACCTAGGAGAAATGGTCCATTGCTTGGCTGTTTCAGTGTAAACAAATGATGTCACTGTCCATTCCAATATGCAGTCGTGAATGGGTTGACATATTTATACAATTATTGCAATGAGGAATAACAGTAAATCTTATATTTTTTGTGTGAATAAAAATTACAAATAATTTATATAATAAATTATTTGTAATTATTTGGAGTGGTTGGTGCAATTATTTAATAAATGTATGGAAGAGGGTAAGGTACCTAGGGATTGGCAGAGAGCATGCATAGTTCCTTTGTATAAAGGCAAAGGGGATAAAAGAGAGTGCAAAAATTATAGGGGGATAAGTCTGCTGAGTATACCTGGTAAAGTGTATGGTAGAGTTATTATTGAAAGAATTAAGAGTAAGACAGAAAATAGGATAGCAGATGAACAAGGAGGCTTTAGGAAAGGTAGGGGGTGTGTGGACCAGGTGTTTACAGTGAAACATATAAGTGAACAGTATTTAGATAAGGCTAAAGAGGTCTTTGTGGCATTTATGGATTTGGAAAAGGCGTATGACAGGGTGGATAGGGGGGCAATGTGGCAGATGTTGCAAGTGTATGGTGTAGGAGGTAGGTTACTGAAAGCAGTGAAGAGTTTTTACGAGGATAGTGAGGCTCAAGTTAGAGTATGTAGGAAAGAGGGAAATTATTTCCCAGTAAAAGTAGGCCTTAGACAAGGATGTGTGATGTCACCGTGGTTGTTTATATATTTAAGATGGGGTTGTAAGAGAAGTAAATGCGAGGGTCTTGGCAAGAGGCTGGAGTTAAAGATAAAGAATGCACACAAAGTGGGAGTTGTCACAGCTGCTCTTTGCTGATGGCACTGTGCTCTTGGGGAGATCTGAAGGAAGTTGCAGGAATTGGTGGATGAATTTGGTAGGGGTGTGCAAAAGAAGAAAATTAAGGTGAATACAGGAAAGAGTAAAGGTTATGAGATAACAAAAAGATTAGGTGATGAAAGATTGAATATCAATTGGAGGGAGAGAGTATGGAGGAGGTGAATGTATTCAGATATTTGGGAGTGGACGTTGTCAGCGGAGAGGTCTATGAAAGATGAGGTGAATCATAGAAATTGATGAGGGGAAAAGAGTGAGTGGTGCACTTAGGAGTCTGTGGAGACAAAGAACTTTGTCCTTGGAGGCAAAGAGGGGAATGTATGAGAGTATAGTTTTACCAACGCTCTTATATGGGTGTGAAGCATGGGTGATGAATGTTGCAGCGAGGAGAAGGCTGGAGGCAGTGGAGATGTCATGTCTGAGAGCAATGTGTGGTGTGAATATAATGCAGAGAATTCGTAGTTTGGAAGTTAGGAGGAGGTGCGGGATTACCAAAACTGTTGTCCAGAGGGCTGAGGAAGGGTTGTTGAGGTGGTTCGGACATGTAGAGAGAATGGAGCGAAACAGAATGACTTCAAGAGTGCATCAGTCTGTAGTGGAAGGAAGGCGGGGTAGGGGTCGGCCTAGGAAAGGTTGGAGAGAGGGGGTAAAGGAGGTTTTGTGTGCGAGGGGCTTGGACTTCCAGCAGGCATGCGTGAGCGTGTTTGATAGGAGTGAATGGAGACAAATGGTTTTTAATACTTGACTGCTATTGGAGTGTGAGCAAAGTAACATTTATGAAGGGGTTCAGGGAAACCGGCAGGCCGGACTTGAGTCCTGGAGATGGGAAGTACAGTGCCTGCACTCTGAAGGAGGGGTGTTTAATGTTGCAGTTTAAAAACTGTAGTGTAAAGCACCCTTCTGGCAAGACAGTGATGGAGTGAATGATGGTGAAAGTTTTTCTTTTTCGGGCCACCCTGCCTTGGTGGGAATCGGCCAGTGTGATAATAAAAAAAAAATAAATAATAACGATAATAATAATAATACAGTGGAACCTCAAATTTCGAACTTAATCCGTTCCAGGAGCTAGTTCTAAATTCGAAAAGTCTGAAATTCGAAGCAATATTTCCCATAAGAAATAATGGAAATACAATTAATGTGTTCCAGAAACCCAAAAATATTCACAAAAAAAAAAAAAAAACATTTTATAGAGATTAATTACAGTTTTACATAGACACAACAAATGCTATAGTCTTTAATTATGTATAGTAATATAAAATAACATTTTTACTTACCTTTATGAAGATTGTGATGGCATCTGGAAGATAGGGAGGAGGAGAGAGGGAGTTGGGGTTATTGTTTGGAAGGAGAATCCCCCTCCATGAGGACTTCCGGTATCAAAGCCCTCTCTGGGGTTACTTCCCTTCTCTGTATTTTAATGCCACTAGGACCAGCTTGAGTTACTGGACCCCAGTCTCACAAAATAACTGTCTACAGTCCTCTGTTTCTGTCTCACAAAATAACTATCCACAGTTGTCTGTTTCTGTCTCACAAAATAACTGTCCACAATCGTCTGTTTGTCTCACAAAATAACTCCACAGTCATCTGTTTCTGTCTCACAAAATAACTGTCCACAGTCGTCTGTTTCTGTTTCACAAAATAACTGTCCACAATCGTCTGCTTCTCACAAAACTCCACAGTCGTCTGTTTCTGTCTCGCAAAATAACTGTCCACAGTTGTCTGTTTCTGTCTCACAAAATAACTGTCCACAATCGTCTGTTTGTCTCACAAAATAACTCCACAGTCATCTGTTTCTGTCTCACAAAATAACTGTCCACAGTCCTCTGTACATCCTGGCAAGCTCAACAAGTCTCACTCCAATCTCATACTTCTGTATTATTTCTTCTTCACATCTATGGTGCTTCTCACTTTCTTTACCACAGGGGTACCGCTAGCAAGTTTCTTTGGGCCCATGGCAGCTTATTTCACAGCCCCACAAGCACTAAACACAATTAAATAATCGTAAAATGTGTGAATGAGATCGCAGGTTAGTGTTCACTCAAGCATAAACAAAGCTAGACTGCTCACTGCGCCTGCACGGGTGTAGACAGCCTGTACTGTCAGAATAGACAGCCTAAGCCGTCTGTTCTGACTAGTTCATATTTAGCGGCATTTAAGTGCTGCACTCTGTAGGCTCACCCAGGTCAGTGGGAGGCTGAGCCCATTCGGTCTCACTCCCAGGTCGACCGACTTGATAGGCACAAGTGCTCCCCCTCCACGGACTGGCTTGCGGTCATTCCCTCTCACTGCCCGTTGTGTACTCACTCCTATCCAATTAAAGCCAAACTAGTCCACGGCCGTATCATTGCTACCTACGCTACCTCCATCGGCACTAAACCGCTGTTCAGCAGCAAGAACAGTAATAACACGGGGACACGGACAGAGCGGGCCAGCGGACAGGTCCCGTACCCGGCGGTCTGAAAATAGGGGCGCGTTCAATAATAGGGACACAGTTTGTCCGAAAAAATGGTCTTATTTTCGAAACATTCAATATGTGATACATTCGATTTTTAAGGTTCCACTGTATGTATAATATGAATAATAACAATACGTATAATAATAATAATAATAATAATAATAATAATAGTATAAACACAATAATAATAATATGTATAATAATAATACATATATAATAATAATGTACTACATATAATAATTATATAATAGACGGCTTCAAAAGGCCGTCACTAGATGGCAGTGTTTACCACAACAAAGAGGGAGCAGTTGTGGCCGCCTCCACCTGTTACATAATGACATATTTTATTCATTCTAGAGTATATATCGTGTTTCTATGTTATTTATATTGTCTGTTATGTCATATTAGATGAACTGTGATATATAAATAAGCAGTATAGATGATATTAGTGAAATTATTCATCAAGAATTTTGCCCGGTCTCCAGACAAACTCTCGTCCACCGCCGACACCGCCCATACCACTACATGAATGACATATTTTATTCATTCTAGAGTATATATCATGTTTCTATGTTATTCATATTGTTTGTTATGTCATACTAGATGAACTGTGATAGATAAATAAGCCGTATAGATGATATTAGCGAAATTATTCATGAAGTATTTTGCTCGGTGTCCTGACAAACTCTCGTCCACCGCCGACACCACTACATGAATGACATATTCATTTTAGAGTATATATCAGGTTTCTATGTTATTTATATTGTTTATTATGTCATATTAGATGAAGTGAGATAGATAAATAAGCCTTAGAGTTGATATTAGTGAAATTAATGAAGTACAGAATTCCACTGGAACGGATTAATTGCATTTCAATTAATTTAAATGAGGAAAATTGACTCTGCAAACGAGCAAATCCAGTTGCGAGCAAGGTCATGGAATGGATTAAACTCGCAAGTAGAGGTTCCACTGTATTTGGGTGTAGACATGTTCATGACTCAAGAAATCGTAATGACACGATTGCAAACAAACCATACCCCCAGCCGGGATTGAACCCGCGGTCATAGAGTCTCAAAACTCCAGCCTGTCACGTTAGCCACTAGACCAGCTAGCCACAATAAGATTCATCCAACTTATTGTGGCTAGCTGGTCTAGTGGCTAACGCGACGGGCTGGAGTTTTGAGACTATGACCGCGGGTTCAATCCTGGCCGGGGGTATGGTTAGACATGTTCATAGATGGGTCTATGAAAGACAAGGTGAACCATGGAATAAGCAAGGCAAAAAAAAGTAGGTGGTGTGCTGAGGCATCTATAGAAAAAAATTTATCTATGGAGTCAAAAAAAAAAAAAGGATAATGTGCCATAGTATAGTGGTACCAACACTTTTATATGGTGTAAGGCAAGAACAAGAAAATATATATCAAAACTTAATTTTTTAATATTAAAATAATATAAAAAATGTAAATAACAGAAATGGTTAAAAAAATATACTGCTAGATCGATGTGGGAACATCTCTTAGAAAGTTATTTTAACAACTTTCTAAGAAAGTGTTGTATAATACAGTAGCTGTTAATGTTTCATAAGCAGAAAAAATGTATAGTAATTACAATATAAAATAATTTAAGTATTGTATTCTACAACTATCTGTACCTAAAAATCAATTATAAATATCAATAGGTTATATTTCTTTACTGTATTAAGTTAAGAAGCCACAAAAACTGCCAATGACATTCTCGATATGAAGAATGTAACTGGCAATTTGAAGGTACAGTATTCAGTTTACAACAGTTTATTCTACTGCTCAATTTTGAAAACTATAACATCAGTCACATATTACTACAGTTAAATGTTTCCTTACCCTGTTGTTGATCAGCGTTTGTAAGTCGAAGTATGTTGGCAGATGCAGGCAAGTTTCCTTTCTCTTTCCCATGAAGACCCTTTACATGTCTCGAACAAGCAGCAAGTTCATGGAAGCCTGACAGAGAAAGCACTTATATATTGTACATAGTCTAAGGATAGATTAAAAAAAAATATTTTACTCTTTTTAAAGTGCCTGCACTCTAAAGAAAGGGTAAGGATGTTGCAATTCAGAGGGTCATATTAATGTGCTGTTGGCACACTTCTTGCAAGACAGTGAGTGAATGAATGATGGTGAGTGTGTTTTCTCTTTTTGGGGTAACCCTACCTCAGTGGATGATGGCTAGAGTTTAAAAAAGTACCAAAAACAAACCTATCTCTAATTTTCCTGTTGATTTTACTAATTTACAGTTTTTAATGAGGTGTACAAAACTTATTACGTAAACACTAAAACACACAACATACTTTTAAGTTTATTAATTTTTTTTAATAATATAAATCACATAGGTACTGTAAATTTTAATCTAAAGTAGTGAACTGTTTCCTTACTGATTCAATAATACTGAGCAATGAAACAGAAATAATAAAGTTATTATTTTTTATTATCACACTGGCCGATTCCCACCAAGGCAGGGTGGCCCGAAAAAGAAAAACTTTCACCATCATTCACTCCATCACTGTCTTGCCAGAAGGGTGCTTTACACTACAGTTTTTAAACTGCAACATTAACACCCCTCCTTCAGAGTGCAGGCACTGTACTTCCCATCTCCAGGACTCAAGTCCGGCCTGCCGGTTTCCCTGAATCCCTTCATAAATGTTACTTTGCTCACACTCCAACAGCACGTCAAGTATTAAAAACCATTTGTCTCCATTCACTCCTATCAAACACGCTCACGCATGCCTGCTGGAAGTCCAAGCCCCTCGCACACAAAACATCCTTTACCCCCTCCCTCCAACCTTTCCTAGGCCGACCCCTACCCCGCCTTCCTTCCACTACAGACCGATACACTCTTGAAGTTATTCTGTTTCGCTCCATTCTCTCCACATGTCCAAACCCACCTCAAACACCTTCCTCAGCCCTCTGGACAACAGTTTTGGTAATCCCGCACCTCCTCCTAACTTCCAAACTACGAATTCTCTGCATTATATTCACACCACACATTGCTCTCAGACATGACATCTCCACTGCCTCCAGCCTTCTCCTCGCTGCAACATTCATCACCCATGCTTCACACCCATATAAGAGCGTTGGTAAAACTATACTCTCATACATTCCCCTCTTTGCCTCCAAGGACAAAGTTCTTTGTCTCCACAGACTCCTAAGTGCACCACTCACCCTTTTCCCCTCATCAATTCTATGATTCACCTCATCTTTCATAGACCCATCCGCTGACACGTCCACTCCCAAATATCTGAATACGTTCAACCTCCTCCATACTCTCTCCCTCCAATCTGATATCCAATCTTTCATCACCTAATCTTTTTGTTATCCTCATAACCTTACTCTTTCCTGTATTCACTTTCAATTTTCTTCTTTTGCACACCCTACCAAATTCATCCACCAATCTCTGCAACTTCTCTTCAGAATCTCCCAAGAGCACAGTGTCATCAGCAAAGAGCAACTGTGACAACTCCCACTTTATGTGTGATTCTTTATCTTTCAACTCCATGCCTCTTGCCAAGACCCTCGCATTTACTTCTCTTACAACCCCATCTATAAATATATTAAACAACCACGGTGACATCACATATCCTTGTCTAAGGCCTACTTTTACTGGGAAATAATTTCCCTCTTTCCTACATACTCTAACTTGAGCCTCACTATCCTCGTAAAAACTCTTCACTGCTTTCAGTAACCTACCTCCTACACCATACACCTGCAACATTGCCCCCTATCCACCCTGTCATACGCCTTTTCCAAATCCATAAATGCCACGAAGACCTCTTTAGCCTTATCTAAATACTGTTCACTTATATGTTTCACTGTAAACACCTGGTCCACACACCCCCTACCTTTCCTAAAGCCTCCTTGTTCATCTGCTATCCTATTCTCCGTCTTACTCTTAATTCTTTCAATAATAACTCTACCATACACTTTGCCAGGTATACTCAACAGACTTATCCCCCTATAATTTTTGCACTCTCTTTTATCCCCTTTGCCTTTATACAAAGGAACTATGCATGCTCTCTGCCAATCCCTAGGTACCTTACCCTCTTCCATACATTTATTAAATAATTGCACCAACCACTCCAAAACTATATCCCCACCTGCTTTTAACATTTCTATCTTTATCCCATCAATCCCGGCTGCCTTACCCCCTTTCATTTTACCTACTGCCTCACGAACTTCCCCCACACTCACAACTGGCTCTTCCTCACTCCTACAAGATGTTGTTCCTCCTTGCCCTATACACAAAATCACAGCTTCCCTATCTTCAACAACATTTAACAATTCCTCAAAATATTCCCTCCATCTTCCCAATACCTCTAACTCTCCATTTAATAACTCTCCTCTCCTATTTTTAACTGACAAATCCATTTGTTCTCTAGGCTTTCTTAACTTGTTAATCTCACTCCAAAACTTTTTCTTATTTTCAACAAAATTTGTTGATAACATCTCACCCACTCTCTCATTTGCTCTCTTTTTACATTGCTTCACCACTCTCTTAACCTCTCTCTTTTTCTCCATATACTCTTCCCTCCTTGCATCACTTCTACTTTGTAAAAACTTCTCATATGCTAACTTTTTCTCCCTTACTACTCTCTTCACATCATCATTCCACCAATCGCTCCTCTTCCCTCCCGCACCCACTTTCCTGTAACCACAAACTTCTGCTGAACACTCTAACACTACATTTTTAAACCTACCCCATACCTCTTCGACCCCATTGCCTATACTCTCATTAGCCCATCTATCCTCCAATAGCTGTTTATATCTTACCCTAATTGCCTCCTCTTTTAGTTTATAAACCTTCACCTCTCTCTTCCCTGATGCTTCTATTCTCCTTGTATCCCATCTACCTTTTACTCTCAGTGTAGCTACAACTAGAAAGTGATCTGATATATTTGTGGCCCCTCTATAAACATGTACATCCTGAAGTCTACTCAACAGTCTTTTATCTACCAATACATAATTCAATAAACTACTGTCATTTCGCCCTACATCATATCTTGTATACTTATTAAATAATAATAAAGTATTAACATATAAGGACTTAAGAGTCCTGGAGATGGGAAGTACAATGCCTGCAGTTTAAGAGGCACACAAGTTTCCCCATCCTCTAATAACATGTTCATTTTTCCACGATAATTTACCTTGTCCATAATTACTATCGCATTTGTTTTGTCTGTTTCGTAAGGTGAAGTCCAGGATCTTTTCTTAATTCATGGTATAACTTAACAAATCTATGAGGACAATTATGTTGCAGAGGTCTGAGCTCAGACCTTTAAAGGAGGAGTTTGGGATATTTGCTGTTTGGAGTGACATCTCAACTGTCACATCTGAGCACCTCTGCAAAGACAGTGATTATGTATGAATGATGGTGAAGGTGTTCAATGATGGTGAGTGTGTTTCTTTCTTTTTGGCATCACCCTGCCTTGCTGGGAGATGGATGACATGTTGAAAAAAAAAATAATGATATGATGAAACTTACTTTTGCTGCATATTTTGCACACATAAGGCTTAAAGTTAAAGTGACGATTTTTGTGTTCCTGAAGAGTCTGGGGCCGGGCAAATGAGGAGCCGCATACATCACAGTGGAACGGTCGTTCTCCAGTGTGTATTCTAAGATGTCTGTCCATGTCTCCTGTGAAAGAGAAGTACCATCAACTCATTTATATTCAAACAATTTCTGCAGTATGCAAAATGTAGTTTACATGTAATAAAATACTGTTAAGCACCAAAGAAAAGCTACTAGCATGTAGTGCAATTCCTCATGCCATTTCCTACTAAATGGCAGAGAGACAGTTGAAACCATTCTATCAACTGGAGTGAAGCTACTGTCATACAAAATGCCTGCCCGTACAAGAGGAAAATAATTTAATCAGCAATGATCAACACCCAAGAAATCAATCTGCTGAAGGAACAATGGAGACCTGGTCTTATTGCTAAATTTGTTTTATTTGAATAACACATTTTGGCCATAAACCTAAACCTACTATATTATGGATAGACAAACATAGTAATACAGTTGGCGAGATGATAGTCAATATTATAAGTTTATAACATAATAATTTAGGCAGGAGCAACTGCAATATGTCTACTGGGCTTTGCCAGATATATCTTTAAATTTAAAATTTTTCAACCCTATATTTGGTCCAAAAAGTTTTTTGAAACTACCCAAGTTTTTTTGTTCATAGAGTCTTTAATGTCTCGGCATAGTATGACAACTGCTGTGCTGTACAGGTGCTCCTCGACTTATGATACAATTACATTTTGAAGAACCCATCGTAAATTGAAAATATCTTAAGTCAAATATGAATGATAACTAAATAAATTGTAGGTAGTAGGTTGGTAGACAGCAACCGCCCAGGGAGGTACTACCGTCCTGCCAAGGGAAGTTTTAAAACGGAAACCTGTAATTGCTTTACATGATGGTAGGATTGCTGGTGTCTTTTTTCTGAAAAATGCAAGATTAAAGATGTTTGTATTCAAATTAGGTAATACAAAAAAGTAAAGAATAAAAAAAAATTGGTTTTTTTTTTAAGTTTGTTCTTTTTTTAATTAGGGGAAGTGAACGTTTCCCCCAAAAAATTTGGAGGGACTAAAAGCGGACGGCCCCCTAAAAAATTTTGATAAATTTATAAATTTTAAAAAAAATTTTTTTTTTTTGGAGTTGGGGGGATAAGTTTGGGGGAAAGAAAACTATGTCCTTAAAACAAAAAAAAATTATGAAAAAAATACCATTTTAAAAAAAGTAAAGGGGTAAAGCATGTTGAAAAAAGTGGGGGTGGAAAAAATGCGGGGTTTTGGCAAAGGGGTGGTTAAAAAAAAAGCAAACAAATGGGATTGTAAGTGTCTTCAAAACGTTCGGGAGCTAAAGGAAGGGGTTGTTGGTGTTGGATGTGAAAAGAAGAAAAAAAATAATCAAAAAAAAAAAGTTATAGTCGGTTGGTTTAAAAAGGGGAAAAAAAGGGGGAGGAAGGTTGAGGAGGGGAAAAGAATTTTTGGGGAGGGACTTCACGGATGCTAAAAAGGGGTTAAAAATGAAGGAAAAGAATATGGTCCCTTGGGTTTTGTGGAGAAAAAGAACTTTTGGGGGGAAAAGGGGGAAATTAAAGGGAAAGCCAACCCCAAAGGGGAACTTGAGGTTTCCGGAAAAGGGAAGTAAGGCTGTCTGAGGAAGGTGGTGTAATATTGCGGGGTTTAAATTAGGAATGCATTACCAAAATGTGTAAGGTAAAAGGGGTTTTTTTTTCGGGACATGGGGGGAATGGGGGGAAAAAAAAAAAATTAAGGTTAATTTAAAAATGTAAAGGTTTTGGAAGGGGGGGGAAAGGGTTTTTGTTCACTTCTTCGCAGCTTTAGGTTTGAAATAAGGGAGAAATTTTTTAAATTGACTCTGTTTTAGCAAAAAAATTTTAAAAAATTGGGAAACCCCCCTTTTCCCTAGTAATACGGGCCTCCCTAAGGAGGGGGTTAAGTTAAAAAAACTGTGGGTAAAGCACCCTTCTCAAAATAATTTTGGGGAAATTTTTTTTTTCCCATTTTGGGGGAAGGGGTTTGGGAAATAAAAATAAAAATTTTACTAAAAAAATTACATTTTAAAAAAAGGTTTACATCCCAGGAACCGTTGGTTAAATATTGGTAAACCAGAAAAGGGGAATTGATTTAGCTTTTTCTAATGACCCCCCTTTTTAAATAAAAACCCCCCTAAAAATTTCCCATTCTGTTTCCCCTAAGGGGGAAGTTTTAAAATTTACATTTTTTTTTTTAATGATCAGGTTTTATTTGAAAAAATGTAGAAAAAATTTCATTATTTTTGTACGAATAAAAAAAAAAAATTTAAAAAAAAAAAAAAAAAAAAAAAAAAAAAAAAAAAAAAAAAAAAAAAAAAAAAAATTTTCAACCAAAAAAAATTCCTTTTTCAATTCGGGACAACAAATGGACGAACTCCCTCATGACAAAGGTGGTGTGTTATAAGTGAGATCGCTGTCTGAAGGGGCGTCCCAAATGTCACACAAATGACAAACTGGTCCGTGTGTTTTAAAACTGTGTGCCCTAAAGAATTGGGATTGTAAAACCTTTGGGAACATTGTGTGCACCAAAAGAAAATGTTGGGTTTTTCAGCATTTTTTAAAGTTCAAAAATCTTTAAAAATAAATTTAAAATAATGAAAAAATTTTTTTTTCCCAAAAAAACTCACTGCAATATTCTTTGGAAAACAACCACCAAAAATTTTGTGAATTTGTTAAATTTAAATACAAACTTTTCCAAAAGTTTATCAAACAGAGATGGAAAAAACTTAAGCATACGGTTTCTCCAGTTTGATGCTAAATAAAACTTTGGGGGGCTTCTTCCAGTATATCTTTTAGCACAAACTGACATCCAAGGGGCTTCTCTCCATCATGGCAGCTAGGTGGCGGGCAGGTTACCACGTGTTGTAAATCGGGGGAAACATTTTGTACCCCAAAGGGGCCCCCCCCATATGATTCTTTTTGTACTGGAAAAAAAAAAAAAAAAAGGAATTTTTTTATTTTTAATATTTTCTTAAATTTCCTAATTATTTATCACATAAATTTTTCTGCCTTTTGGTTCTGATAAACCATTTAAGGGAAAACACCCCCTTTTAAGTTGAACCTCTAAAAACACCATTTTTCTAACCTTTTCAAACCCTTTCCCCTTTTGTTTGTTTTAACCCCCTTTTCTTAAACAATTTCCCATTTTCTTAAATAGGACTTCTAAAACCAATGACATTTAAAATGATCATTTTAAATTTTTGCTCCTACGTCATCAGAGAGCAAAACTACATCAATAATAGTGAGTATTGCCCAAAAGTTATTCTAAATGAAGGAAGGTAAAAACACACAATTTTTTACAGAAGTTGCTAAAAATGAAACCCTGTAAAAAGACTGCCCGGGTTTAAAATGATATACTAAAATAAAAATAGAAGATATGGTGTTTTTCATGAACCAGAGCCATGGTAGTATCATGGAAAAATTTATGATTTATAAAGCAGGGTATATTCCCCTCTTTTTTTAACAAAACGTTAAATTTTTTGGGCATACAGAACAATCCCAAGTTGCAGAAAAACCCCATGCAGTTTATTAAGGGGAAAATTTTTTTCCCCTCCCTTTAAAGTGCATGGGGGTTTTACAGTCTTGGGGGCAAATTGAGCACCCCCAAATTTTGGGGTGAGATACCTGTTTTTTCGTGGGAAATATTTATTCATTTTACATTAACATTTAAAAATATAAAAAATTTATTTTTAATTTTCTGTTTTTAAAACCCACTGCAAAAATAAATTTTTTTAAGGACATTTTTTATATAATTTAAATTTCACAGATATTAATAATTTAACTTAGCTTCCCCAATTTCATGAGTATTTTATTTTGGACAAAGTAAATTAATGAATTTTCAGTCACAAAAAATGAAAAAAAGTCTTATTTTTAGTATAATTACTGTACTAAATGCTTTGTGGAGTCAAATGATCTTGCAGATATGTTCATTTCGTGTCCACCCTCCAGTTTTGCAAAGTTCTTTTTTCTCCCAAATAACAAGAAGTTCCCTTGCCCATGAAGCTTATTCCCCTGATATGAAATTAACCTTTTGGGGTCCATGCCATAGATCTAGGGTTTTACTTTTGAGGGTCCAAACCGAGATCTACCCCATGAGCTCAGCCCTCTGATAAACTGTGAGGGGAAAATTTGGGGCCTAGATGTGGAGATATAATATAACTTCTGCTAATGCTGCAGTTTCCAGAATATCCAAGGCAGTATATCGATCAGATATTCTTGTATGCCAGACATACAATTGAAAAAACCTTTTCGTAAATTTAACAACTGAACCAGACTGTCATAATTATTGCATTAGCGACTCTGACCCCCTCTAAAATGAACTTTTTTCCAAGCAAACTCTACAAAAATTTGTTTTGTCGCGTTGTAACGTACAAAATTGTTGATAATTACAGGTAACAAGTTGTAGTCTTAAAATATTTTTTGAAAGCTCATAACAAATGACTGGCAAAGGGTAAACCACAGACAAGTTTGAGCTCTTCCTGTCAAAGCGTGGAAACAAGGTAGCCTGTGCTACGTGCCATTCACAGCACATGCCTGGTTTTCAAAAACATCAAAATAGGTGTTTTTTAAATCACTCTCAAAAAAAATTTGGACCCTTTAGGGAGCTTTCTGCCCCATTAACCCCTAAATGCCCAAACAATCTACGTTCACGTGTAGTGTACAAAAGTAGATCTAGTTTTTTTTTTTCTATTTTCAAAAATAACAAAAAAAAAATAAAGATCAAAGTTTTTTTTCAATTTTCAAAAGTAAAAAAAAAAAAAAAAGATGATCTACTTTTTTTTACAACTTTTAAAAGTTTGAAAAAACGTATATATAGTTTTGGGCCTTTACGGGGTAAATGTTCCTGTGTTATACTAACAGGTTTTTTGAACTTTGTCAGCTCATCAGTCTGTTGTCTTTTGAGACGAACATTTTTTTCTGGGAAAACTTCTTGTTCAATTTCCCCTGGCCTCTAATTGGCAGTCGCAACATATGAGGGGTTCCATCCTTCAAACTTTCCCCAGAGATAGGACCAGTAGGTAACGGGGGAGTACGGACAAGAAGCGGTGGCCTTTTCGACCCTTGTCCA